AGAAATATTTGGGTTCTTGAAAGCAAAAAAGAATGGAACTTTATTTCCTGTTAACATCTTCATTTGAAGAATATATGGTGTTTGTTTGCTAGTTAGTTTAGTTTTTTGGCCCTTTTCACTGATTTCCTTGCAACCCTTTAATTAATTAATTAATTGTTCTGTTTTTTGTGGGTTTTGTTGTCATTTTAGTTTCAGACATGAGCAGTGAATTGCAAGAGAGGCTGCTTGGTCAAGTAACAGAAGAAGGGGTAAATTTGAAGGTAAAAGTTTGTGAGGAATCCAAGAAAATATGGAGGGTTGCTCTGCCCGGTGTGATTTCTCGAGTCACCTCGTTCGGTTGCGTGGTCATCACACAGTCATTTATCGGGCACATGAGCGCGGCTGATCTTGCCGGTTTTGCCCTCGTCCAGACATTAGGTGTCCGGTTCGTGAACGGAGTTTTGGTAATAAATTACTTTGCCTATGAAGATGTGTGTGTGTGTGTTCTAGTTGTTTGGGATTAAGATAACTTGTCTTTCGTGCTACTTTTTTGCTGTTATGTGCACTATATGTTATGATATTCATATTATCTGTTATGAACCACGAACAAAATGACATTCACTACAATATGCTTCGAATTTGTTTCTAGCTAAACTTAGTTTGAATCTTTTACTCAATTATTATTGTTCTTCGTCAATTTGAAGTACTGCGCTTTAATTCGAACTGTTTGCTTATTGCTCGAGATGATTTTGAAGTTATTGTGCCGATTTTGGGTGATGATTTTGTGGTTTTCTTTATTTGTTTTAATCTTTTTCGGTCTACAACATTTCTAATTCGGAAATACGGTTTCGAATTTCTGTTCATCATCATCATCATCCATAAGCCGAACCTCTCCATTGAAAGTCGACTTTCTCCAACATTATTTCAAATGCTTATTCAATTCTCGTTTTCTTGTCTTTTTTATCTTTTTGTTTCTTTCAGATCGGAATGTCGAGTGCAACCGAAACTCTCTGTGGCCAGGCATACGGGGCCAAACAGTACCACATGATGGGAATCTTCCTGCAACGTTCTTGGCTAGTCGATCTCGTTACACTAACTGTACTACTGCCTCTTTTCTTCTTCGGGAGTCCCATTTTCAAGCTGCTCGGTGAAGAAAAAGCCATAGCCGAGTCAGCCGGCTACATTTCCCTGTGGTTCATCCCCTACTGCTATGCCCTCGTTTTCAGCCTCACGATCCAAATGTATCTGCAGGCTCAGCAGAAGAACTTGATAGTTGCTTACCTCTCGATTATGCAGTTTGTGGTACAAATTCCTTTGTCGTGGGCTTTTGTGAATCTTCTTGGATGGGGTGTTGCTGGGGCCATGGCTGCACTATGCATCTCTATTTGGCTTGTGGTGCTTGGTGAGTTTGTATATATTTTTGGGGGTTGGTGTGAGGATTCGTGGAAGGGTTTTCGTCTGGCAGCTTTGAAGGATATTTTGCCGGTGGTGAAGCTCTCGATTTCTTCTGGTATCATGATTTGGTAGGTCGTTTATATGCTACGATTTCTTTTTTTTTTTTCTTGGGAATAATGTACTATTATCAAGAGCATTGCTTTTCTCTAACCCTTCAAATTGGATTTTTTTTATTCGTCGGCTTTGAATTTGCTGGATAATTGTTTTAATGTGGAGTATCATGTTTCGAAAACTAGCTCGTTTGAGACGTTAAGTTAACTCGAGAGCAGATAACATCTGCCTAGAACAATGACTATGTATGCACATTCGCATTTATACGTCATTGGCATATTTTTAATCGATTTCGATTTTACTTTTATAGCTTGGAGATGTGGTACAACGCCGTTCTGGTCTTAGTAGCAGGTTACATGAAAAATGCCGAGGTTGCAATATCCGCTTTCTCTATTTGGTAAGTTCGCTATATACGATTTTCGTATTTTTTTTTCTTGCTTCCCGTTTTAAGTCTCTAATTAAAAAATAATAATCTATATTTGCAGCCTTAACGTACACGGATGGGAATTTATGATATGCTTAGGCATTCTTGGCGCCGCAATGTAAGCTCTCATCTTATATTAAACATCCCGTTTTAATGAAAACTCAAAAATGTTTCTTCTATCCGATCAATATTAATTAATTAATTAATTTATATATTGTGTAGTGTTCGTGTAGCGAACGAGCTAGGACGAGGGGACTCCAATGCTGTAAAATTCTCGATCAAAGTTCTTCTTACTACTTCTGTTGTGATAGGGGTCTTTTTTTGGATCCTTTGCTTAGTCTTCGGCCATAAGCTCGGCTACTTATTCACGGATGATGAGGCGGTCGTGGAAAGTGTATCTGATCTCTCGGTTCTGCTTGCTTTCTCGGTCTTGTTCAACAGCATTTATCCGATTCTCTCGGGTTTTCTTCTTCTTCTTCTTCTTCTTCTTCTTGATTTTCTTATCACTGATTATATTTTTTCCTTTTCGAGCTTCCTAAAGTCCGTGTAACTTACACTATAGGTGTGGCTGTTGGGGCCGGCATGCAAGCAATGGTTGCTGTTGTGAACGTTGTCTGTTACTATGTGATTGGGCTACCGGTCGGGCTTGTGCTCGGGTATCTTGTTGGGCTCCAA